GGGTTGGGGACCACTATTCTACACCACAGAAGATAGAGGCCAAAGTCAGGAGACAGATCTCCCCCCCCCCGCATGCACAGATGCACACCCCCGCACACCCACCCACATGGACATACTCCCGCACATATATACAGATACCCCCGGCCTCCACCACAGAAGATAGAGGCCAAAGTTCTGTTGCTTAGTGTAGTGAATTGCACTTGAGCACGCTCATTGAGTCAATGAGGATTTAGTGAATCAACTCCTCTGTGAGTTCCATTGATTGAAATGAGCCTACTCTGTTATTTACTATGCTAAAGTAAGGCACATTTAAAATAAGCCTATTTGAATAAATGGAAGTGAAAGAACAGTTGACTGGCCAAATCCTTATTGATTCAATGGGCCTGCTGTTGTGTGATTTATTACACTGTAACAGGATTTTGGCCATTGGGCATCAATAACTGCCAACTGCTCATAAGGCTGCTGTGATGATATGAAGAATTCAATTCTCTAAAAAACCTCCACTTTATGAATGTGAAATATTATCCTTCATACATTTACTATTAGGTGGACTAGGACTTTCTATAAGTGAAATGGAAGGCCTACAGAGAGGCAACAAAAATTCAGCATAAAAATATGAAACATGCACTGCCTGAAAAGATGCAAAGAAGTGCTTGGGGATGACATTAATTTTGAGATGGGAAAATGTTCAAAAAAGACTAGGATTACAATACTTGTAAGAAAATACTACATAGTATTTCCTTACAAGCATTGTAAACATCGGCTTAATTTTTCCTTCAGTTGCATGTATTTTATATTTCTATATTTTCTGTCCTGAGTTAGATATATACTTGTTCTGACTTATGCATAGTAAATACTTATTTTTTTCAAAAAAGACTAGAATTACAATACTTGTAAGAAAATACTACATAGTATTTCCTTACAAGCATTGTAAACATCGGCTTAACTTTTTACTTCAGTTGCATGCATTTCATAATTCTATACTTTCTGTCCTGAGTTAGATATACACTTGTTCTGACTTACGCATATTTTTAAAGATACAGAATTACAAAATAATTAATCTGAATTACTGGAATCCAAATTTTGCACTTAATATTCCAGTTCTCTAAAGCATGTGAAGTTTATGTGTCCCTTTTGTAGTTCAAATTATTGAACAAACATTTGCATGAAAGACGACTAGAATGAAAAAGCTTTGGATGATTACAAAACCAGAAAAAAAATAATGGAAGAGGATTTGGTTTATGAGTCTGATTGTTAGAACTACAAAGGTAAGCATACATGTACTTTTATACTGAATTCATTCTCTTTTTACCAGAAAAAGGAATCCAAAGAGAAGTCTTCAATCAAATAACCCAAACCAGCTAGGAAGCATGTATGCTTGGAAGGAGGCATACAGTATGTCTTTATCTTTGGCAGGCTGGGGAACTTTATGCACAAACAAGTTCCTGACCTGGACAAGCAAAAAGCACATTCAGAATCTGATCTGTCCCCGAACAGCGAAATGGCAGCATAAGCACATAGCCTCGGATCCCATGAAAGCATATCAACCAGATGAGGGTACATACAGAAGTACGGGCAAGTTTATTTAAAATAGTTGATAATATTTCATTAACCAAGACAGTGGGGCCCAACATTTCTACAAAGCACACAATTCTAAGCTCATTCATTTGAAAATCAGCTTTAAAGGTTTCAGTGAAACTTGGGAATATGTTTAAAATAATAGCACAAATATAATGTGATATTTTTCTAGAGTTCTGCCTTAAATCCGTCTTGCTGCCTGAAATAAAGAATGTGCTTTTGCTTGGTTCTAAGGTGGGGGCCATTACGTGATTAGTGATCCAAAGTTGTTTCTTTCACATTGAGGTAATTTACAAATGTCTATAACGTTTTTGAGAACCAGTGCAGTGTAGCGGATAGAGTGTCAAACTTGGACTCAGGAATCCTTGAATTCAAATCTCCCTGCTCAGCCATGGAGACTCACTGGAAGTGGATGGCACTGCTAAAATGAATCTTTAAATGTCTCACTTACTTCAATCAAACTTTATCAAGGTTTGCTATATGTCAGGTGCAACTTGATGACATAAAACAAGTTTTGACCTTCTGGCAAAATTAGATGAACTGTTCAGGCAGAACAGCTATTTAAGGGAATCTCATTTGCTAAACTTCAGGCAAATGACTACATTATCTGTGTTTTAGGTGCCTAAAAGGAAGTAAAAATATTGCGATGGGACTACACCACTTTCTTGCAACATGGGCCTCATTTGGTCATTATGGAAATGTGTATACTCTACACACAATTATGAGAGTGGACTGCCTCTGCTCACTTTCATCACATGAAAGTGACAGTCTGAAGAGGGATAGACGGTTCTCTCTGAGTAGGATCTCCATATGTGCCTGATGTTTTGGCATTCTGACTCCTGTAGAGAGCCCACACAGATGCAATATATTCTGCCCCCCTCAGAGGAGCACTTTTGCATTATAAAAGCAATGGTGGAAGGGGCAAAGCTAGTGCCGCCTCTTCATCACACATGGAGTACAAGTTCTCATAACAACTGAGCTGTATTATGAAACTGTTAACAATGTTTTCGATGCACCCCAATACAGTGGACCCTCGACGTATGCATGGCTCGACGTGCTTACTTTTTGAGGTCCGGACTTCTCTGGCCACAAGATTTCCAATCAACTTGCGGCCGGAGAATCGACCTACGGACTGGAAGGGGGAAATGGGGAAAGCGCCAAATTCAAATTTCCTCGCCTCCCCCTTCCAGTCCGTAGGCCGCCAACCATGCCTCCGGATGCCTTCCAGGGCTTCTCCGCCACCATGGGAGGCATCTTGGAGGTCCCCCCCCAGCAGCGGAGAAGCCCTGGAAGGCATCTGGAGGTCCCTTGCCACCGCCGCCCCTGCTGGGAGCCTCGCCTCGCCAGACGATCCTGGCCATGCTCGGGCTCCTGGACTTCCCCTGCCGCTAGGCTTTCCTGGGCAGTAGACCGGGCCTACCAGTCTACCAGGCTTTCCTGGGCAGTAGACCAGGCCTACTGGGGGAAGCCCTCCCCTGGTAGGCCCGGTCCACCCTGGGAAAGCCTGCGTCGGTGTGGGTGGGAGACCTACGAGAGGCTTCCGGCAGCGGTGGAGAAGCCCTCAGAGGCCTCGGGCAGCGGCGATGGCGGTGGCCCCCTGGAAGGCTTCAGAAAAGTAAGTTCTATTTATTTTAAATTTTGTGTGTGTATGTGGGGGGGAGGGTTTTCTTGGGCCGGTTATGGATTAAATGGTTTTCAATGTATTTCTATGGGGAATGCATTTTCGACCTACAGATTTTCGACCTACAGACACCATTCCAATACGGATTAATTCTGTAGGTCGATGGTCCACTTGTACAGTAACATGGTTTCTATAAATGATCCCAGTCAATCAGTCAGATACAGAACTACTAATGTATTTGGAACACTGAAATTATATCTGTAATCATTATGGCTGGAAACAGCAGAGTGAGGTGTGTGAACAGAAGTGATAGTTTGGTTAGTAACAGAAGTGATAGTTAATAACAAATAAATAAATATCAGACTTGCAACATAAACTGAAACATCAGCATTAGGATATGAGGGGATCTTGTGTTTAGGATGGAGATTTGAGGGAAAGTATGGTTTTAAAGGAATCCTAATAAAGGTATATTAATAAAAAAGCTGACACAAGCAGAACACCATTGGCAAGTCCACAACTTTTGTGCTGCCACTACTGTTTCTCATATAAAAATTAGCTATTGATTGTAATGCATTCCTTCAATTGTCAAAATCCTACTGGATATGCAAGACGAAGCAAGCAGAATTGAAGAAGTTGCTTTGGCTAATTGACAAGGTGCCAGGTACTTGATCTTACTTGTGACCAGCAACCTCTTCTATCAACTGCAGCAACTTCTATGATTTCTTGTGTCTGCTGAAATGTTGGTAGGACTCCAGCTAATGTCTTTATGACTCACTAGATGAAATACTGTTTCCACATCCAGAAGCGATTCATACTTAAGAGGAAAACACTGTCTACTCAGAGAGGCTTGCCTCAATCTACAAGTGGCAAATTCACTTTTGTTTCACAGCTGGTCAACTGGGAGAAAGCATGGCTATCCAAGTTTGAGGTGTCAGGCATGTTACTGTCAAATATCTCAACCCAGGAAGGATAATGTTATAAAAGAAGGAAATACATGTTTGATTCAATGTGTCAAATGACCCTTCTAAAATTGTTCCCCAACTGGAACTAAAACATGTCAGTCACAAACCTTCATTCTCTTGCCTCCTCCATTTTCTTTTCTTACAGAGACCTTCTATAACTTCTAGAAGGCTGAAAAGTACTGTACTCACAAAAACAGGCTTACAAAGGTAAAATGGGAACAACCCTCTACACGCTGAAGTGAATTTGATGCTGTATCAGACTCAACCACTTCAGAGCCACGCTATCTCAATTTGGAAGGAAATGGGACATCACCAAAGCAGGGATATTTTCTGTGTGTCAGATTTATGCCCGAGACTTTTGTTTTGCACAGACCTAACACTTTTTTACTTTATTTAAATAAACAATAATAAAAGGAACAATTAAATGCTTAAGCTTGTGTAAATGCCTTTATACCAAAGACAAACAGAAGACAACTTCACCCATATAAAACCAAACCCTACAGAAAAGTCAAAGAGTAATTTTATTT